ATATATATATATATATATATATATATCAAGCTCCTGAGTAGTATGGCTCTATTTTACTTCATGTTCTCACGCTAGAGCACGGATTACTCAACCTATGAAATATCTGGCCCTATGGTCAGTTTCCCAGTAAAAGACGGTTAGCCTGAGTTATGATGCTTCGTGTAATTCTGGGATGTGAAACATCACTACGGCCACCCTGATTTGAATGCCATCTATTTTGGAGACCACGTGACTTGAAGAGAACGGAAGCTCGAACTAAGTCCTGTCTGATGATCAGGTTACAGGGGCACATTTGGGATCATAACCCGTGTTTATGCAGGACCAAGCGTGAACCTGGGAACCTCATGAAGTTGGCAATCCGTTTTCACAAGTCATCTATCCGAAATTGTAACATGGTATGAGTACTCACGAAAACGGAAGTGATTACAATGGCGCTTTGCTTCGTGATTTGAAGCAGCTTGATTGATGTGACCTGCATTCTTAAATAAAGCCAGAACAAAAATTGTCTGGTTCAAACGTTATAATCGTCTCAACACCACTTAGTAAAAAATATGGGTTTATTTATAATGTTCATAAACCAAATCCATTATGAATAAAAGGGTAAAAGGTGTTGTGGGAACCCATTTTCTGTGTATAGCTGAAACAGCCGACTCAGAGGGTCAGCTTAGGGGTAGTGAACTTCTGGCGTCGCAGCAACTTTGTTCCCCGTGGCTTGGTTCAGCTACAGTGCATGGCCACAGACGGTTTTTTGATCATTTTTATCATTTGAATGGATATCACTCTAAATACGTTTACTTTCTGCCTTCGTAATCTAATAAATCTTACTAACGAGAAAAGGTCCTAGCTATCCGCCAGTGAAAGGAGAAAAACATTTCACCGGGGAGCTGTTCATTAGAAAAAACACCAACTAAACAGGTACAAACTATTGAACATGACACCTTGTCCTCGAGTGCGTCCTTTTGAGCTTTCCTGGATATTCATGCAGTTGCAACTGTGGGTTTTGTGGGATAGGTATTTTGTTCATATTCATAACAAACTCGTTCTAACGGTCGCCCTTCTGTTCTGGAGTAATTATTCCGATGAGTTCACACCAGAGGGGGAGGCATCGGACCTATCAGCAGTGTATTTCGAAAGGCCGTACCGGGATTTGAACTCCGGACGTCTGCCATGCGAGGCGAGCGTGTTACCACTACTCCACCAACGCACGTTGGACGAATCTGAATTTTTCACGTCTGCCAGGCGAATGCGTGATTGGCGTGTCCGACTCATCGAACGACGATCCAATAACCGTCATGGCTGTGACTATCGATCGATCCTGCAATTGTAAGCGAATGCTGCCAAGCAGTTCCACAAATCCCCTAATAAACCACACCTTCCATGAGACGTGAAACGGAATTATGAGAAAGCCACATACTACTCGCAGCCCCATCAGTAGTATCCGTCGTGGTTAGATTGTTCGGACAGGTCAACTACCACTTAACTCGAACCACACTTTTGAACGTGGAAAATGGCCTGTGGTTGTCTAGAAGGCCATTAGAATTCAAACTGCTTATACTAATGCGATCACTCCGGCATACATACTCAACGGGCTTTTGAAGACAGTGTCCTTTCAGAGAGGGACTGAAAAATCGATTGAGGAAAATAGAACAGTCATCAAAGTTTTCCTCCTTGCAGATCTAGACTGAATGTGATTTTTTCAACATATTGCTTCGTTCCCCTGGGGAATGTCTACGGGAGATGTCATAATTTTTCCGCAACGCAAGAGTTTCCTTCTGTGTGGGGATATATACTGCTTTTTGGAATCTCCTAAGAAAAGCGAGGTTATGTGTGCGTGTTTCCAACATTCTGCCAGCGCACTTCTGAGAAAAAGTTACTACCACACAGACACAATTTATGTTTTCGATTGTAGCAATATGTTTATCTGCGACACGACCGTATCAAATGTCACCTGTCTGTCGTCTAAGCCACCGACACGTGCTGCTAGCCAAGGTGAAATAAAATCGTCCAACAGGCGTAGTCACAAATAGAGGCAACTAGTCAACTAATCCGGGCATACGCTTGCCATGAAAAGTATTCCATCCATCGACTTCGTACACCGTCATTCGCACTGTGCTCAAAACCTCTATTCTGGCGGACGGGGTAGAAGGTCAACGGATGGGTGTCCGAAAAATAGCACCTGTATTGTCATTCTGAGGAATAATCCGTGAAAATATATCGGTGATTTCGGAAAACAGAAAGTACTTCCGCTTCGCTTCTGGAGGGTGGAGGTAAAGGAGCAATCGGTGCATAGAGAGTACTCTTTTCGATGTTCAAAACGTGTGGAAAACTTTTTAACTTTTACCGAGATTTCCAAGATTTACCATACTTCTTCTCATTATTCATTATTTATACATTTGCAGTCTGGCATGTGAATTGGTTTTGGGGCAAACAAACTGGTTGTTTCGGGTTTTGGAACGCCCGTTACTTAGCGATATTTCAGTCCTCCTGGTGGATGTCTCCTATTGAGGTATTTTACTTGAAACGTCATTAGCTAGCAGGTGTGATGGTGTGTAGAATGCCGTTTTTTCCCCAGAAGCTATCTGCATTCTAAATGGTCAGACATTGAACAAAGGTAATGTGGGGGCAAATTAAAGAAACTAAGCAACCACCCATAAGTGATCCGAATTTGTCCGGCAGGTTCAAATTGCCTGGGGGGGGGGGGTATCTGATAACCGGGACATTAGGCAGGGCAGTAACTAGGTCATTAGCTGAGGCAATGGCCTCGATGTGCAGCCGTCATTCAAATGTGCCCGGTGCAGTAGTGATACAATGTCTACTCAATATATCGCTCGGAGTGTACGGCTGGTGAGTTCGAACAACTCAAATTCCAACTCAATTCCACTTGTTTCTCTACTCTAAATGTAAACCAACTAGGGTGGGATGGGAGACTACTCAAACAAAATTGATGTGAGTAGAATTCAGCGGATCCCGACTTCCACAGTTGCACTCATTCCGACTGACTCATACCCTTCCGTTCCATGAACTTTATGATGTATTTACGCACGAATTTATCAACTCTGGCTTCTAATGCGCAACTATCTTCCTCACCTCCCCAAATCGTTGATGAACGAAAGTGTGGCAGCTTCAACCATCGTACGACAAGTACGCGGCTCTTACAGCTGATGATGATGATGATGATGGACTTATGGAGGGAAAACCAATTCGTTAATGACCTCACTCGGGAGTCAAACAGATACTGGATTCACTGAGTACCGGCATCAGATGAATCGAGTCTTCCGTACGTCGGCTGTTCAATAAACGCGAACATCCTACAACCTCGGCAGTTAGGCATTGCATTTTTCGCTTTCTACAAACCGGAAGAACGTTTCAGCAGCAGGTTTTAAGACATCGTCTTCATGGTATGAATTTGGGAAAAACAGTATAGCCGAGGAAGTTAGGAAATTGCTTGTTTTACTGAAAACACTGATTTCTGGTTGTCGAAAGCCTTATTTTTAGTCTAGCAATCGTTTCTTAAGTGACGTCAATCTATTCTGCACAAACTTCCGGAGGAATCGAACCTGGAAACTCCTGGCAAATAGTTGAAGACGAAACCGCTCTGCTACTGCCGGCTGATGTTAACTCGTATCTAGACAGGACGTCATTTACAGGACTGAAGCTTGATTGAAAATTTCCAAGTCACTTCAGATTAACAGCGAAGCGTTTATGCTTCGTGAAATAGAACTTTTCGATGATCAGTTTGAATTTACATGCACGCAGGAAGTTGTGAAAAGCAAAAGTATCAAACTAGCGATAGCCGATAACACAGAGACCAACTTTCGTGATAGCTTTCATTTACCCGAGGTTCGGATAAACGTTGCGATCAAACCTAACAAAGAACTCTGATTCGTAATTTTACGCATTTTTATCCTCCCTCATTTCTAAGCAGTTAATGGGTACAAACGGGTGGCCGAAATCAGAAATTAACATTCCTTTCTATCAGAGTCCGGAAAATTTTGGCATTCTATTGATCCAAATTATATTGATTTCTCTGTTTTTCTCCTTATGATTAACAGATGCACAAATCCGAAGCTCAGCTATTGTCCCAACAGTTCAGATGCACGAAAAATTCGGTCAACCAACTCGGATCTGCCACACACTCCCGTTCAGCAAAAGTTCAATCCCAGTGTCTGTGATAGTAGGAGTCCGACAGAGGAACGCATGATCAATAGTCTGGACTACTCAAACTCAAACACAAGCACACCCAAACCGCTTTATCAATCTGGGTCATTGTGCGATTCAAGGCCACATTTTGGCAGCCATAGCTCGCTCGATGACTCGGTAAACCATACACCCAATCAGAGGGTAGTTCCGATATATCAATTCGAAAACGGCGCGGTTTTTACCTATGAACAATTGGTTGCCGCCGGGTTTGGGGAGTGGGGCATGCAACTGTGGGAATGCGGCATGCAGCTACGGACGCTGATTCAGAACGACTGGAGTGCAGTCGCCGGAATAGCAGCCTTAATCTTGGTGAACTACAAATCTGTGAACTGTAAGTATGCGGGCTGTCATTTTTACAATGTGGTTGGTGTTTTTTATGGGAGTTGGTGAGTTGAGCCGAGCCCGGTAAGATTGGGCACACCTTTTTTGGAAGACAGAATATCAGCTGATAGCCTTGACCACTCAAAATGTCCCTGAAGACAAGAAATTCGACAGTGTCTTCCGTCAGCACCAAGCTATTTTTTGAACGAGTACAGCTTATCGATCCGGTACATTTCTATGCTCAATTTGAACCTAAGGTCGACGGGGGCCAATCATGAGCCTAATTTTAAAACTACTTTCCTTCACTTTACTCTTGTTCTTAAGATGGCTTATGAGTTGAATCATGAGCTACCTCCAATACGATTATACTCGGTAAGGAGTAAGAACTGTCATAATTTGCGAACAAGTTTATTTGTTTTTATTTCCATCTCTCTGACCAGTTATGTCTCGATGAGGTTGGATGGGAGCCAACATCTCTGAGGCAGTTAAAATTTCAAACCCACATTGTATATAGTATTTTATTCCTCTTGTCTTATGTAACTTGGAGATGCCGTCTGAATTAGGGTGCTTAATTCACCCACCAAATTAATTTGTCTTATGTAACTAATTAGGTTGAGTTCTCAACTCGTACAGTCTAGAAGTACCGATTGGTAATCAGGCCGATATAGATATGAGCGGTGATTGATGAACCTAGAGGGATACTTGTATAGGCTTCAGACAATTCTTTGGGAGTCCAAGTTCCCTCTGAATATGTAGTTCCTTGGTTATCCATAGGATCCTCGGTGGTTGTGACCTAATATGGCTTCTAGTTGCGTACACTTCAGTGAAACTTTAGCTTCATATACCTGCCAAAGAAAATCGCTTTCGTGATAAAATTCTGGGTCAAATATGCCGATGTTGACTGCCGTCAAAATGCGCCACCTGGATTGCTGTGAATAATTTTCGTAATAAATTTGAACTACTCATAAACTGACAGTATGCGGAGATACACGCACTTTAGCAGCAAGATGTAAGTATAGTATCCACTTGAACTCGAGCGTCTGTTGCCATGTTGGTAACTGTAGCGCAGCTTCACTGAAGACCATCTCGCGCTGGTTCCCCCGAATGAGTTATACGGGAAGAAGCATTGTTTGAGTTGGGACAACAAAAATTAACGGTATGACCAAAGTTGGGTCTCTAAGGCTTGTCAGCACTTTCCTGGCGAATAAACAAAAAGATGTAATGAACTTCGTTGTCTAATCTCTACAGTATGGGATATGTTTAAACTATTTATTTAAGTATGCAACATCAAAAGTCAAAAAGTGAGGTGTCAACGTAACCACACGTGATGTTGAGGCCAATACCGTGACGCTTCCTAACAACTTGGTTTTCTTGCAGTGGTTTTCGTGCAGTCTGTCCATTGTAAACCTAATCAGAGTAGAAAGTGACAAATTTATTCTATCCTGCGCAGTTTGAACGCGTACTTCTTCGTAGAATGCTCCAAAAAGCTTCCGATACCACCTATATCAGACCCAGCTTGTGTACACAAATGCAGCTTTGGAAAACCGTGTACACATTAAAAATCCTTGGAGTTGAACTTCTTTTGGTTTTCCTCAAACACTTTTCTTCCCGAGATCCACATTTAAACTTTGAATTAGTCGTTGTATGTCATATGTCCGGTACGTTCTATGGCTGGAAACAGTCCAAGACTAGTGCCATATTCTTTGGAGGTCTTTTTCTGACCTTGTCCAATGAGTGGCTGGGCTGATGCTGAAGTTACCAACGCTGGATTCCCCATACTTTTCAATCACGAAACGTTGTGGGTGCTGTCGTTGTACTCGCCTTCCAGGATGGGGACCGCGTGACCCTCACTGCACCTGGTTGTAGACACTGCAAGATATGTTAGCTAAAACTACTGTACGACAAGTACGCGGTTCCTACAGCTGATAATGGTGATGATGATGATGATGGTGATGATGATGATGNGATGATGATGATGATGATGATGATGATGATGGTGGTGGTGGTGATGATGATGATGAATCTGCACCATATTGGTGCCTTACATTTCATGATTCTTTTTTTAAAGGCAATCAAGTCAAGTTGGCAATTACTCGTTCTTGTCCGGCCACCCGACAATCCGGCGACCCAGTTTTCAAACTAGTGCTAATCCGGCAGCCAATTAGGGGAAATTTCTTGTAACCAAGCATCAATGTGCTTTCTTCCCTTCCTGATTATGAAAGGCAATCAAGCCAACCTATGAGACACACTTGTTTCCACATGGCATGGCAACTAGGCACCGGAAGGATACTCGAGCTGAGTGATCTTCAAGTAAACAGCAACCATGACAAGTGGATGGCTCGTTGTTATTCGTCCCACACACTCATCTGCATACCAATTCCCTTTGATAGGAGACTCACCAGGAACCCAGCTGAATCTCTCGAAAGGTAACCTTATGAGTAAAAGGCCAGTTGTGATATTTCAATGAATATAATGCTGATTGGGATGATCTTAATACCTTCTGTCTTTGTTATTGATGAACGCGAATTTTCAATGTGCCATTTCATGCTTTGCACCCATGCAGGTCATTCTCCTCTGGCCAAACCCAGTGACGTGTATGCCCTTCACCACCGATTCGTTGAGATGCTAAAAAGTCATTGTTGCGCCACCGTCTACTCATCACAAGTCAACTCACCTGCAAACACATTAAACTATGCCTCCAGAAAATCATTTCGCACGGACAATCAGACCGGTGCCACGCACAACAACCGGAACGGCGCCGGCGCGGGTTTGTCCACTCCACGAGTGGATTCGACTTATTTCTCCAAGGTCTTTCAACAAAAAGATGAAATACGATCCATGACAAGAGCATGCCTATTGTCCCCAATGACACGACTGTTGGAAACCGAGAGTTTGATTAGTCCTTGGCTTCAAGAGCTTGTGGATCTAACACTGACTACTGAATGATCGTAACAAGTCAGGGGATGCAGTGTTCAAAACAATGCAGATCGATTCTCATGTTACCCCCATATTGACTTATGATTTACCGTGTATGAAGCTTTCTGTGTTACTGTTCTCGTCTGAAGGAAGCTATCATAATTCTGTGTTGCTGTACATAGAATCGCGTCGGTATGATGTTTTTTCTTCTTCAACCTAGCAGGGACAACAAATCTCACAAACTCGATTTATAGAAATCACTCAACTCAAGCCTTCAGTATTTCCCCGACGCTGATATGTCGTGTCCTTTTATCTTTGAATATCATACGCATTAACATCTTCCGTTTTTTGCAAACGAAATGTATTATTTATGAGCTACCAACAACAATGTTACTGCTATTTCCAACGGTATCAATCAATAAATCGATGGGGCCCAAATTGCGCCGTGACACTACCATTTTTGATACGTCTTTTGCCGGAGTTTCCATGTTTTCGTGAAAATGCCGTTCTCTGTTGTGATTTCCATGTGATTGTTAATATAAACTGGACTGACTTGCTGCTACTCAATGTCTTATGGTTACGTACGGGGGAACCGCGATGAAAATCTTCGAGCCACTGGCAACGGGGCCGGATGAAAACAATCACTCCGGGACTATGTTCAGCGGGGAAATGGTTTTCATCTAGAAGGAGGCTTCTCCACATCAAGGGGGAATTCAGGGTGAGCGGAGGCCCAATCTACGAAAACCGCGCTAGCTGGAATAACGAAGATTGACCGGGTCTATCTTCCAAAGCTGTCCCCATCAATTTTGTGTCATTTCTTGCGTTTGTCTACTGACAATGTATTCTGATCTATCACCGATGGCAGATATTTCAGTGCAATCTGCAGAGACGAGATTGTAACAGGGCAAAACGACTGAACCCATTGTATGTATTCCACTGTAGCCTCATCAAGATCAAACCGGGTTGGTTTGCACGAGTGTGAGTAACCCGCAGGTCACGATATTCAAATGTAGCAACGTATCCAGCGTACATGCACCGGAAACTCTGGCTGTGGTCCCGCGGGAGGCCTCTCTTGTGACTCCAAAAGGTAATGAAACGGTATTACAGTAATCCAATCCACCAAGTCAGAATGTTGTTGAATAACAAGAGGCCTATGATGTGAAAAAAGTTCGATCATAACAGGGATAAGAACATGCCCATTTCGGACGGATCTCCACAGGGCAATGTGTCTTTCTATGATGGTACAAGCCTGATCAATGAGTAAGGCTTTGAGAACATCCGGCATGATCACAGATGTATGGCTTCAAGCCAAGGTGACAGTTAACATGTCCCTGTGCGGGTCCTGGCCGGATAAATTTGCTATTCCAACCGCGATAGATGCACTCGCACCCAAATGGACCTCCCGATGACACTTTAGGCGAGCATTATTTCGGAATCTACCGTCCGGGAACTCACAAGCAGACGGCAGTTCGCACCTATGAACATCTTCCTCTGCATAGCTGTTACACAAAGATCCGCCCTCAGTATGGATAAGTGCAGATATACACTTTCCACCCAAGCGGTGAGCGTTTTCTTCTGGGTTTATATGACTGGGGAAGGGGAAATGAGTTGACCGACTTCCTCGAAGGGCTCTTTTCGCACAACCACGTGAAGGGCGGAAGAGAGCCAGAGGCGGTCAAACAATGACTTGGCAGCGAAGTATGGAAGCAATTACCAGCAAACTCAGCTGCGCTGACCACTGCCGTCTTCCTGGATGGGGACCTCGAGACGGGCCATATCAATGGCTAGAGACGTCGTCAGATATGGCCCAGTCGCGCCCTCAATGGCCCTCGTGCATCCAAGCGATTGCCTTCAAAGCATAGCTCCTTTTCCAACCCCCCCACTTGACAGCCCACTGTACCTAACCCCCCTCCAAAATCATCGGTGAACGAAACTGTGGCAGCTACAACCACTGTACGACGAGTACGCGGTTATTACAGCCGATGATGAATAAGAATTTAGGCTACTGATGTCAGAATTCAAAGTTGTGTCTTCAGGGTGACCCGTGGGAACCGAAGTGTGAGTATCCAAAATGATTTGTTCGCCACTTTGTTCATAAGTAACCACGTATTCACGCGCGCTTGGAAACGGTTTTAGCATGCTGTCAGTAAATATTCGTGTCAGATCCAAGGGTTCCGGCTTGATGGAAGCAATTATCACTGTACTGAGGAAAGTTGCTGTTGACAGGGCTGAAGATTCATTCATGCTGTCTCCATATTTCTTGGCAAAAGCCGCTAACTAAAAAAATCGCACCGATAGTTCAGAGAGCAGCGCAGCCAGCGTAGAGTTGACAAGTCTGGCTGCTGGAAAAGCCGGCTTCGTATTTAAAAAGGAAATGATTGAATCGTTTTCCTGATTGAGGCAACCTTCAGCTTATCATGTCACCGGTGCACTATGACTACTGGAAAAACTACCGGCATGCCTCCGCATTTTCATTCTCTTTTAACCTATCAGGTGACGGGCTTGCCAAGTGTGCGCGCGAATGTGATTGGTGAACAGTCTACCGCGCTTGGGCATCGCAGCGTGATCAATGGGACCGATCGATAAACCTAGCTAATCGCCCTACTTGTCTCGGTCAATCACTCTGTCACCAATCAACTGGGGGTTTTCAAGTGTCAAAACTTTGAGGAGTGTCAGTTGTGACAAATCTTGTCTGTTTCTGTTTCACCAACATTTTGCAGGGAAAGTTTAAAGATTTTCCACAGTCGGGCACCAAACAAACATAATGGTTGAAAATTGTCTTGGAGCGACCGTTTCGTAGGAACTAATCCAGTATGCCAATACTACAATAAGGGCGCAAATGGCATTCAAACGGGCGGGTTATCGATTATATTTCTTCATTTTGGTTCAGTCTTTAGTAATGACCAGATTTAATGGCAAATGGAACAGTAATAAGATGAGAACAAGTGTCAAAAAGGTCTAACTGTGCTGACAAAACAATGAATAAAATGAGACTTTGGAGAAGTGCTTACAGTGTGTAGGTTTTAGTCGTTCTTTTAAGCAAGCACAACAACAAGAAAACCGCTCTGCAGTGATAGGGACAGACCGAGTATCACTAAGCCTGTTCTCTGGGTGCAGTGTGCAGTGTCGAAAGTCTCACCGAAGGGAGTTCGACAGACACACAAACCTGAGAGGTTTGCTGAAAGGCATTGGAAAATTGCGTTTCTGAGACTGAAATCTCTGAAACTCATAACATTTAGGAAATGAAGGTTTCTAGTGAAGCTTATAGGGAACCAGCTCCTCACCACGTCGGTCACTCAAATGACAGGTGAAAGTTTACTGGTTCGTACTTGGAAAATAGCCGTAAGAACCGCAGAACCGTAAGAACCAGCAGAAATTGAGGTAAATTCTAGTGAACATCCCACGGAGATGAAAATGGTATAAATGCGGCGGAGATGTGGGAGGGTAATGGGAATAGGGCAGATTTTTACGTTGTCCTTGTTTTGGCCACGATGTGATTATGCGTTCAGTCCGCGAATTTCCGGAAAAAAGGGGAGAAAACCGAGACTTAGGTTCTTACGTTCACTACCCATTGACCTGATGGAAACTTTTGGACTTCCCACTATCAATTTCACCCTTTTTTGGGTTCATCGGTTAGGCTTTATCATCAAATTCTCATCAAAATGGCTTTGCAACTGAACATTGAAGGGGATGTTTTTAAACGTAAATGTTAATTTGCAAATGTTGACAGGAGATTCAGCTATGATTTGCGACATTCCATATCAACCTGATAAGTAACGTCACGTGATATCTTCCCAAATGCAGTATTACACGCCGCACGTTCAGTTGACGAATACCTTAGACGAGGGATTCAGCCTATACAAAGTTGATTATCTGGTCAACACCAACGTAGCTGGCAAATGAGCGTTGGTTTAGACATTTGGTGTTATACTGACTAAAAACTGTTGTCCAGCGACAAAGGCCGTTAGGCTCAACCTGGATTTCCCAAGGAGTCGGTATTTAGCATACTCAAACATGAGCCCCTTTTCATAGTATCCCACAGTTAACAGCTGAGTCCTTTAATGATGTACCTCGGTTTTCCTTCTATTTTGACATTACGCTGATACATAAATTGTCGTTTGAACTAAGCTTGGACATGCATTAATATGATTTCTGAAAAGACACTGCACTCGCAAACTGGTCGCCTGGTTAATTGCTGTGACAACTTTGGAGTCAGCGGGTGCCACCTGGATGAAGTGGTACAGTGTCACGAAAAAAAGATCCCCCGTGTTTTGAGCGTCTCTTGCACAATCATTCAGAATGTGCCCCACACTCAGAAGCCTTCGAAAACACCGCTTTTGACTAGTCCGAAACCCTGGCTCGAAAGGGCTCATCTCTGCGGTCACTCAGATAACCCGCCGCAAGAATTATGCCGTGAATTAGGCTGTCTTATCCACTTTTCACTAAATATCTCTCCTGCATGCTGTCTTGTGGTTATAATTAGGTTCCAGACTTTTTGCACCAGTCTTTGGGTGTTTTGTTGATGCAATTAATGTAGTCTGGCCTTCACAGTGTGGTGTTAAGCTGAGGGCGACCCTCCGAGGCAGGAGCTGATGACAATCAGGTATAAGGCCTGAGAGTGTCGCCACCGTTGGCATTCAAGAACACATGACACAAGAATTGATCTTAATCAGTATGTACATTGAAGTCCCCAAATAAGTTATTTTTGTCGGTTTTTGGCCGTGGTTGAAGAAAAACAGCAAATATATTTTGTGATGCACTACTTATAAGGTTGCTGAAAACCCGTCGACAGCCCACGACCGGTTTCGCCCTTTTTGGGACTCATCAGGTAGGCGCAGTCCCCGAGTTCCCGTCAACCTTATGTTCTACTTGAAACCAAATTGCACGAAATTAGCGAATATACACTCATTTGCAAACTAATTTGGTTTTTCGAGAGACTCA